GGGAGCTCTGGATCCAGTGCCTGGCACAGTGGGGCTGAGGGACTGTGGAGGCCCCCGGCAGCTCAACTCCCATCTCTGCACTGGAGCTGCCCATGCTGGGTGCTGAGCAGTGGAGAAGCTCCGTGCTCCAGGCCTCCCTCTGTAAGTACTTTCTTCCCCCCAGGTCTGCTTCTCTCCCCCTTGGGACGGGCTGCTTCATGGCTGGGGCCTCCCCCGCACTGCTATGCAAATCCCTACACTCCCTCGCACCAAGTCAGGGAGATGGTGTCCCCAAGGGCCCAGCAGGCAGCACAGAGCCCAGCGGGTGCAAAAGCATCATCAGCTCCAACTCTGGCCCAGTGCTGGTGGTGTCAGTAATGGGAGTCGCCCTGGACAAGGGCACAGACTGTATTTCCTGCCGGCGCTGGCCTCAGTCCTTACACAGACAGGCTGGCCCAGCCCTTAATCAAACCTGCAGCCAAGAAGCCCTCCTGGCAGAGGGGCTCTGAATGGCCCTATAACTTGGCTTAGCTCAAAAGAACCAGAAGCGGTGTAAATAACGCGGAACGCCTCGTCCGTGATGTTAACACGGGTCTGCTCCAGAGCTTAGGCCGGCACTGGGGGCCCTGGGCATTTACAGTCAAATCTGCCCATGCAGAGACAAAAATATTCTCTGCTTGGTAGCACCTGGAATATCCAATTCCCCTGAACTGTAATGTATCCAAAGCCCGCAGGTGCCTTTGGGAGTCTCCGCCTAACGTGACAAGGTGAAGTGTTTATTGGCTGGGAAGAGCCGTGAGCCCCTTGTGAAATCTGGCTATTGTAGGGGCTCGCAGAGTTGCACGTCTGACTGTGGCACTGCATTCAGAGCTGGGCAGCCAAAGAGGAGAGCAGCGGCTGCTGGCTGGACTCCCAGCTCAGAAGGCAGCACTGTCACCAGCAGCAGCCCGGAAGTAAGCAGGGCAGTATTGTGTTTCCACTATTGTAGCCTTGGGGCTTTTTTCCGGAAAAGCACGTCTAGATTGGCATGGACGCTTTTCCGCAAAAACTGCTTTTGCGGAAAAGTGTCCGTGCCAATCTAGACACTCTGTTCCGAAAATGCTTTTAACGGAAAACTTTTCTGTTAAAAGCATTTCTGAAAAATCATGCCAGTCTAGACGTAGCCCATGGGACTGCCGGGTTCAAGCGAAGGGCCGGGTAACTATCCCACAGTAGCCAATTCTCTGGCTCTCCTCTGGAGTGCTGTTCTGCCACCACGGGCCATAGGCATAAGGAAACTTTCCGGGTCTGTCTGAATGCTCTGAAATATGAACCAAAGCAGCCTGACTTGATAGCAGCAAGCTCAGTCCCCGAATGGCATCAAGCCAGCCACGCCAACTTATTATTGATTTAAATGGGCTTAGTAGTAAATGAAATGGGACATTTCATGTTATGGTGTTTTAACGGGGCCAGTTTTACACAGCTGAAAACAACTATGAGCTGACACTAGGAGGAAGAATAATTAGAAAAATATGTGGAATAATGTGGAATAATTCAAGTACATTTTACCAAGTGCCCAAGAAGCTGCAATCCCACGAATGAGAACAAAAGCTATGGCCCATTAAAAAACTAAACTGGTTTAGAGGGGAAGTGAAGACATCTATAAAAACTTTTATGTATAAATGGAAGAAAGTGTCACACATTAAATAATCATATATATATAGTAGCCCAATGTCTGTGACTCTAGTGCTGAAATGCTGGCTGTTCCCTCTGGGCGGCACTGCTGCCTCCCACTGTGGCGCTCAGCTGACTTTTGCGCTGCTCAGCTGGGCCGCCGTGCAGGAGCAAGCGGTCATTTGGGGTCCGCGCTCCCCATGCAACACGGGGGTGCTTCATGGAGAGTGCGGGGCCCAAACGGCCGCTTGCACTGCTTGCTCCCACGGGGCGGCGCGCCTGAGCGGCGCAGAAGTCAGCTGAGCACCACGGTGGCTGGCAAAGGGGGACTGGGCGGTGACGTACACACCCATGGGGCCTGGACAAGCGTGCATCCCCGACAGAGACAGAGGAGCGGAGAGAGAGTGAAAGGCAGGAGGCGGAGAAGAGAAAGAGAGAGACAGAAGGCAGAGGAGAGCTGAGAGGGGGGGGAGGCAGTAGGAGGAGGCGGAGAGAGAGAGAAAGATACACAGAGCGAGAGACCAGAGGCTCAGGAGAGAAGACCAACATGGAGGAGAGACCTGAAAATCCCATCTTATGACAGGCTAATTGGCTAGTATCTGAAGATACACCTATCTCATAGAGCTGGAAGGGACCTTGAGAGGTCACTGAATCCAGTCCCCTGCCCTCATGGCAGGGCCAAGTACCATCCCTGACAGATTTGCCCCAGATCCCTAAGTGGCCCCCTCAAGGTTTGAGCTCATAAGGCTGGGTTTAGCAGGCCAATGCACAAACCACTGAGTTATCCCTCCCCTCTAAGTTGATGTTGATCATTAATATAAATCAGAAATTAGGAACTGTAGACAATTGATAAGGGAAGCAAATGGACATAAGGAGACATCTATGACCAGAAGAATTAAAGACAAAAGGAAGGCATTTTTCATACATATTAGGACAAAAAAAATCTGATAATGGTATTGGTTCATTATTAGATGGAAATGGTAGAATTATCAATATCAGTGCAGGAAAGACAGAAGTGTTCAGTAAATATTTCCTTTCTGATATAATCTCATCCTATGGTGATGATAACTTGTTCCATTTCACCAATATGTAAAACAGAATCTACCAAAATTAAACATTTTAAAATCAGCAGGAGCAGATAACCCACAACCAAAAGTTTTAAAAGAGCTGGCTGAGGCACTCAATAGACCATTAATTATTATTTTAAACAAGTCTTGGAGCACTGGGAAAGTTCCAGAAGACTGGGAGAAAGTTAATGTTGTGCCAATTTTTTAAAAAGGGGTAAACAGGCTGACTGTAAATATAGACCAGTCAGCTTGATATTGATCTCAGTCAAGCTAATGGAGTGGATGATAGGACCCATTAGGAAACTAAAAGGTAAGTCATAAATGCAAATCAAAATGGGTTTAAGGAAAATAGAGGGGTCAAAGGAATTTGATAAGGGTACTAGCTTTGATGAAATGCCCTGAGAGGCCTATAAAGCATTTGAGCTGGTACAACCCAACATTTGGAAGTAAACAGTGGAGTGGCATAAAACAAGGGGGCCCCTGGCTCAGGGCCAGGTCCGAACGGGTCGGCCGGCACGCAGGCGGTTTGCTGGGTCTGGCTCCGGGTCCCATCTTTGTGCCAAGGAGCTGGGTGTCCCATGCACTCGACGGGTGCTCACAGGTGCTACGCAGAGGGGTGGGCAGGGGAGGAAGAGGGTCGCTGGTTTGGGGGCTGACCAGAAGGGGCGGGGCTGGAGGCGTGCCCTCAGGGCCAGGCTCTTCTGTGCCAATGGCCTGGGCAGGGGCGGGGCCTAGCGGGAGATGGGCGGGGCCAAGGTTTGGCTTCGCGTTTGTCCCTCCCCAG